CTTCCCAGATCCTTCCCAGATCCTTCCCAGATCCTTCCCAGATCCTTCCCAGATCCTTCCCAGATCTTCCCAGATCCTTCCCAGATCCTTCCCAGAGATCATTCCCAGAGATCTTCCCAGATCCTTCCCAGATCCTTCCCAGATCCTTCCCAGATCCTTCCCAGATCCTCCCAGATCCTTCCCAGATCCTTCCAGATCCTTCCCAGATCCTTCCCAGATCTTCCCAGATCCTTCCCAGATCTTCCCAGATCTTCCCAGATCCTTCCCAGATCTTCCCAGATCCTTCCCAGAACCTTCCCAGACCCTTCCCAGATCCTTCCCAGACCCTTCCCAGATCCTTCCCAGATCCTTCCCAGATCTTCCCAGATCTTCCCAGATCCTTCCCAGATCTTCCCAGATCCTTCCCAGATCCTTCCCAGATCCTTCCCAGATCTTCCCAGATCTTCCCAGATCCTTCCCAGATCCTTCCCAGATCTTCCCAGATCTTCCCAGATCTTCCCAGATCCTTCCCAGATCCTTCCCAGATCCTTCCCAGATCTTCACAGATCTTCCCAGATCTTCCCAGATCCTTCCCAGATCCTTCCCAGATCCTTCCCAGATCTTCCCAGGTTGCCAGGTAACAGTTCACTGCATAGGGATCATAGCAGCCCTCTGTCTTCGGGTAGCACATCTGCAGGATTTCAAGGGATGATGCAGCGACCGCTTGAACCCACTCTGGCTACGTTTAGCATGCCATGGATGGAGAATATTGGAACATGATTTATATTATATATATAATTATATGAATTATATATAGACATAAACATAGAATATAATATATATATATAAATATGTATAATTATATATATATGAAATTATATATAATTTTATATATATATATATAATGTTAGCACCTGATTAGTAGCATGGTACTCTATTGTGGCAAAAAAAACCCTCCTTATTCAGTTCCATGCTGTTTGGGGGGGCTCTATTGTGGCAAGTTTTTTCCAGATTTGTTTTTTTAGTTTTTTTTGATTCATTTTTTTTATTGATCCTAATTATTTTTTGAATTTATTTCTAAATTAATTAACTAAAATTGTTTTTCTGTTTTTTCATTTTTTATATTAAAGCTTTCAAATGCAAGGTTTCCAAATAATTAGATGCCTTATTAAACCCTTATTAAAAAACAGCATCCAAACAATTTTTCAAGGGGGTACCTCATGAGTGGCTCAGTTACTCAATAATATGAATGTTTGGATGGTACTCTATTGTGCCAAGCAACTTTTGGGGTTGAAAAAAAATAAAAACCCTTTCTCAACCTTTCTTTGAGTAAAGCTGGTCCATTTACTTTAGGAAACCATATTTGTATTAAAGCTTTTAAAATGCAAGGTTTTCCAAATAATTAGATGCCTTATTAAACCCTTATTAAAAAACAGCACCCAAACAATTTTTCAAGGTGGTACCCCATGAGTGGCTGAGTTACTCAATAATATGAATGTTTGGATGGTACTCTATTGTGCCCAACAACTTTTGGTGTTGAAAAAAAAACAAAAACCCTTTCTCCACCTTTCTTTGAGTAAAGCTGGTCCATTTACTTTAGGAAACCATATTTGTGATAAAGCTTTAAAACGCAAGGTTTTCCAAATAATTAATTAGATGCCTTATTAAACCCTTATTAAAAAAACAGCACCCAGACAATTTTTCAAGGTGGTACCCCATGAGTGGCTGAGTTACTCAATAATATGAATGTTTGGATGGTACTCTATTGTGCCCAACAACTTTTGGGGTTGAAAAAAATCAAAAACCATTTCTCCACCTTTCTTTGAGTAAAGCTGGTCCATTTACTTTAGGAAACCATATTTGTGATAAAGCTTTCAAATGCAAGGTTTCCCAAATAATTAGATGCCTTTTTAAACCCTTATTAAAAAACAGCATCCAAACAATTTTTCAAGGGTGTACCTCATGAGTGGCTCAGTTACTCAATAATATGAATGTTTGGATGGTACTCTATTGTGCCCAACAACTTTTGGGGTTGAAAAAAATCAAAAACCTTCTCCACCTTTCTTTGAGTAAAGCTGGTCCATTTACTTTAGGAAACATATTTGTGATAAAACTTTAAAATGCAAGGTTTTCCAAATAATTAGATGCCTTATTAAACCCTTATTAAAAAAACAGCATCCAAACAATTTTTCAAGGGGGTACCTCATGAGTGGCTCAGTTACTCAATAATATGAATGTTTGGATGGTACCCTATTGTGCCCAACAACTTTTGGGGTTGAAAAAAATCAAAAACCCTTTCTCCACCTTTCTCTGAGTAAAGCTGATCCCTTTACTTTAGAAAGCCATATTTGTGTTAAAGCTTTAAAATGCAAGGTTTTCCAAATAATTAGATGCCTTATTAAACCCTTGTTAAAAAACAGCATCCAAACAATTTTTCAAGGGGGTACCTCATGAGTGGCTCAGTTACTCAATAATATGAATGTTTGGATGGTACCCTATTGTGCCCAACAACTTTTGGGTTTGAAAAAAACACAACTCTTGAAAGTAAATTGAAATAAATTGAAAGTAAATTGAAATCAATTAAACGTAAATTGAAGTAAATTGAAATCAATTAAAAGTAAATTGAAATCAATTGAAAGTAAATTGAAATCAATAGAAAGTAAACTGAAATCAGTTGAAAATCAAGTGATTTCAATTGAAAGTAAATTGAAATCAATTGAAAGTAAATTGAAATCAGTTGAAAATCAATTGATTTCAATTGAAAGTAAATTGAAAGTAAATTGAAATCAATTGAAAGTAAATTGAAATCAATTGAAAGTAAACTGAAATCAGTTGAAAATCAATTGATTTCAATTGAAAGTAAATTGAAATCAATTGAAAGTAAATTGAAATCAGTTGAAAATCAATTGATTTCAATTGAAAGTAAATTGAAAGTAAATTGAAATCAATTAAAAGTAAATTGAAATCAATTGAAAGTAAACTGAAATCAGTTGAAAATCAATTGATTTCAATTGAAACTAAATTGATTTCAATTGAAAGTAATTAAATTGAAATCAATTGAAAGTAAATTGATTTCAATTGAAAGTAAATTGGAATCAATTAAAAATAAATATTCAAAAAAATTGTTGAGGGGGAGGGGGGCGCAAAAAAATGGTCAGTTATTGAGTAGACTAAAATTGTTTAGGGGGGGGGGCCCTCACACTAATCAGTCGACAACATTAATTATATATATATATAATTATATATATAATTATATATATATGTTCCGAAATCGAACGCACGCCTTATAGCCATAGCTCTCGCACTCAACCTCCCACTCTTCGTTGCAAGGGCAGCCGGTGCTTGCATTGGCGCAGAACTGGATCTGTGGAGCCGTCCAGTTCACTGATCCTACGAACGACAGCAACGAGCCCAGGGGCAATCCAAAGCCAAGAGCCCAATGGTTTAATGGATGGATGGATTGATAACCCCCATAAATGGATTTTTTCCGCCTTTGACTTTAATGCCGTGTGACAGCGGCTACAACCGTGGACATAACCCCCATAAATTGGTGCATAGCTCCTATAATGATTGCCGTTTAGCAACTTATTCAGCCGACCCCAAGTAGATGTCTGAAATATAGGATGCATTAAAATCATTAAAACCCTTCAAGATCCAAGTTCATCCAGAAGGGCAACATCATGGCTTCACAACATTTCAGCCCTGTCTTTTCAATAGCAACATCACCAACACATCATCAACCTGTCCTGTAGAATCATAGACATAGGAATAGCAATACGTTTGATCTTCGGTGCACGTCACTGGGCAACTGCCCCAAGACTTGTCATAGCAATAGGCGCCCCAGTCGTCCACGCAATAATGTTCCTGGGAGGAAGCTACGGTGGCCATAAAATGTCGAGTGCAGTGCTATGGCACCGTAATTAGGGTAGATGGATAGATGGATAGATATAGATATAGATACATATTGGATATCTAGGTAGAACTAGATAGATATAGATAGATAGAGATAGTTGTAGATAGATATGGATAGAGATCCATAGAGATAGATGGAGATAGATGGAGATAGATAGATAGATAGATAGATAGAAAGCGCTTGAAGACTCCAAACAAATGTTTCGTGCTACCAAGGGTCTGTCTCATTGTTGCCTCAAGATGCACACCGACGCCGAAGTCAAGCTGTGAAATGCTGGGGCAAGACGGGCAAGATCCGCAATTTCATGAATTTCATGAATTTCATGACCGTGCCAGGAAGTAAATGCTTTCTGCTAACCAATACAAACAACTGAAACTCACCTAAGATCCTTCCCATCCTTCCCAGATCCTTCCCAGATCCTTCCCAGATCCTTCCCAGATCCTTCCCAGATCCTTCCCAGATCCTTCCCAGATCCTTCCCAGATCCTTCCCAGATCCTTCCCAGATCCTTCCCAGATCCTTCCCAGATCTTCCCAGGTTGCCAGGTAACAGTTCACTGCATAGGGATCATAGCAGCCCTCTGTCTTCGGGTAGCACATCTGCAGGATTTCAAGGGATGATGCAGCGACCGCTTGAACCCAAACTCATTACTGATACCATGTCACACTCTGGCTACGTTTAGCATGCCATGGATGGAGAATATTGGAACATGATTTATATTATATATATATATAATTATATGAATTATATATAGACATAAACATAGAATATAATATATATATATAAATATGTATAATTATATAAATTATATATATATATATATATGAAATTACAATTTTATATATAATTATATATATATATATGTATGTTCCGAAATCGAACGCACGCCTTATAGCCATAGCTCTCGCACTCAACCTCCAACTCTTCGTTGCAAGGGCAGCCGGTGCTTGCATTGGTGCAGAACTGGATCTGTGGAGCCGTCCAGTTCACTGATCCTACGAACGACAGCAACGAGCCCAGGGGCAATCCAAAGCCAAGAGCCCAATGGTTTAATGGATGGATGGATTGATAACCCCCATAAATGGATTTTTTCCGCCTTTGACTTTAATGCCGTGTGACAGCGGCTACAACCGTGGACATAACCCCCATAAATTGGTGCATAGCTCCTATAATGATTGCCGTTTAGCAACTTATTCAGCCGACCCCAAGTAGATGTCTGAAATATAGGATGCATTAAAATCATTAAAACCCTTCAAGATCCAAGTTCATCCAGAAGGGCAACATCATGGCTTCACAACATTTCAGCCCTGTCTTTTCAATAGCAACATCACCAACACATCATCAACCTGTCCTGTAGAATCATAGACATAGGAATAGCAATACGTTTGATCTTCGGTGCACGTCACTGGGCAACTGCCCCAAGACTTGTCATAGCAATAGCCGCCCCAGTCGTCCACGCAATAATGTTCCTGGGAGGAAGCTACGGTGGCCATAAAATGTCGAGTGCAGTGCTATGGCACCGTAATTAGGGTAGATGGATAGATGGATAGAGATAGATATAGATACATATTGGATATCTAGGTAGAACTAGATAGATATAGATAGATAGAGATAGTTGTAGATAGATATGGATAGAGATCCATAGAGATAGATGGAGATAGATGGAGATAGATAGATAGATAGATGGATGGATGGATGGATGGATGGATGGATAGATAGATAGATAGATAGATTAGATAGATTAGATAGATTAGATAGATTAGATAGATTAGATAGATTAGATAGATTAGATAGATTAGATAGATTAGATTAGATAGATTAGATAGATTAGATTAGATAGATTAGATAGATTAGATAGATTAGATAGATTAGATTGATTAGATTGATTAGATTGATTAGATTGATTAGATAGATTAGATAGATTAGATAGATTAGATAGATTAGATAGAATAGATAGATTAGATAGATTAGATAGATTAGATGGATTAGATGGATTAGATAGATTAGATAGATTAGATAAATAGATAGATAGATAGATAGGTAGATAGATAGATAGATAGGTTAGATAGATTAGATAGATATAGATAGATATAGATGGACATATAGATATAAATAGGTGTATATTATATATATATTGATACAAGTATAGGTACAGGTAAAGAAATGATGTATACAGTTTGCCATTGGTTTGTATTACGTAACAAATATGTAAATATGTATGTGTATATATATATAATCATATAATATACATACGTATATATCTATATATGTGCTTCAGAAAGGTAGCTCTTTGGGGAAGGGGGCACCATATATACAATGTATGGTAGCCCGCCAACAGCCACCGAAAGCTTTTGTTTCCAGATGTTTGCAAGGTTTTGCTGCACATTTGGGGATGATTTTGGGCCTATTTTCTGGGCGTGGTTTTGGCTCTGGACAAAGGGTAAATGGTGAGAAAAGGAGGAGCGATCGAGAGATCTTGCCGCCCGCGACTAACCCAGGGGGTTCTGGGGGGTACTTCATGTTACGGGGAAGGGACTACACTGATTTTTTCAGAACAGGAGGCCTTAGTTGGCTTTTGCAAGAACATGTGACATACTTACATAACAATATATATATATATATACTCCGCAGAAATGTATCTCAAAGGCTTTCGATAGATGTGAATGCCAGGGCCAATCACTTTATCTGCCAAGCAGAAACAAATCCTCGATACTAACTTGTCCAGTTGCATTCTGCCCCTGAAAAGAGGTTTTGTTTTTTATCGGTTTTAGTGGCGAAGATTGGTTCTTGATTTCTGGACAAATGTCCTTTCAAAACTCTAGTATTCACACAAGAACATGCTAGTTACTAGTTTATTTGCTTTTTCAAGCATCCAAAATCCCACACCAAAAATCACACCCAGAAATGACGAGTAATCCAGAAAATCCCCCAAAGGCTCCTAGAAGTTTGTTTCTCGATGTTTCATGATTCAAGAGTGTCTCGATGTTCTGTGTTTTTATAGATGTTCTGGATTGTTTGCGTGGTATGGTACTGGTGCACTCCATGTTTCGAGAGTACTGCACTAGAGGAGTAATGCACTTTCTAATTATTGAACAGCACCGTTTTTTAAAGGGATACGGCTCTTGTCATCGCATGCTGCACAAGCTCAAATGATGTAATGACTCCTAGCATGGATACCGCACTTTAAGGACTGCAGCTTGTCATATAGCCGGCCGCTGACATCCTGCAGGTTTACAAGGGGTACTGCACTCTTATTGAAAAACCGCATTTTCTGTTTCTGCAAGCTCCGCTTGCTTGGCTGTACTTGCTCAATGACATCTTGTTGTTTAAATCTAAATACTGCATCATACTGTACTTTTTTGCAGGATCGTACGTTGTTTGTGGAGAGATGCTTGCTCTGAATCCCACATCTTTTCAAGAAATAGTGCAGGTGAAGAGGAGTACTCCACTTTATTAGTACAGAAAAGATACTAACTTAAAGGAAGGTTGCTTCGCTCAAAATGTTGTACTTACTAGGCATGATGCACTTGCTCAATGTTGTATGCCTACAAGTTCTACACTGAATGGGCGCTTCTTTCGATGTATGATGTATGCATGTGGCACTCTTTGAAGTAGTGGATTCAATCAGTGCTGCAACTTAAAAGAATAGATAACAGTTCCTGAAATAGATAGATGCTGCATTTATTCTGCAAGTATTGTTATAGTTTCCTCGAGGATTGTTACTGCACAAAGTAGGCTATCCTTTCTGACTGAAATATTCCGGTCTGTAAAATTGAATGTGTGTGTGTGTGTATGCGTGTATATTATGATTATATATATACATAGTCATGTGGATTTGTCCGAAAATAGGTTACCACAAAATTCGATGATTGATTATCATGTTCCCGTTTAAACTGGTATTCTATGGGTATCCCCATATTTAGACACTGCCACGTAATCCATAAATGCATACATGTTGATATCTATGAGTATGTGTCACTAGTCTCCTTCTTACACAGCATTGGGTCAAAGGCGTGCTGAAAACACAACAACTCCAAACATTGCTTTGTGCTACCAAGGGTCTGTCTCATTGTTGCCTCAAGATGCACACAGAACAGTTGTGCAATGCATGGTGGGGCAAGATCCGCAACTTCACAACCATGCCATGTGGTGTGCAAACAAATAACTGGAATCTTTGAAATTAGCACACCCAAAATTCTCAAAATTGATAGTTTTCCGCAAAAAGTGATAGTTTTGTTTTGACACATACCCAAATGTAAACACAACGGCTCAAGCCGTACAACTACAATTCTGAGAACAGCACTACCATTTCGCAGGCTTAGTAAGGCTTAGCAAGATCCCACCCAGGCCGCCAGGTAACAGTTCACTGCATAGGGATCAAAGCAGCCCTGTGTCTCGTAGAGTGTCTTCGGGTAGCACATCTGCAGCAGGACAGGAAATCAACCAACAGCCTTCCCAACTCATAGCCATACCATATCACGCTGCGGCATGCTGTGGCTACATTTAGCACGTAATGGAAATTGGAGAATATTGGAGAATGATTTACATGTTCCGAAATTGAACACACGCCTGGTAGCCATTGCTGTTGCACTCGACCTCCCACTCTTCGTCGCAAGTGCATCCTTCTTCATAGGTGGCACAGGTGTAGCCATACCCATAGCCACGCTCATAGTTCTCGAGCGGTGGGCATGGTAGAGGAAAAGTCAACCCCAAACTTTGGTGGTAAATCAAAAATATTCAAAAAAAGAGAATAAAACGATAATCCTATCCATGGGTATTAATCATGGGAATATAATGGACATATAACTTGATCCATAGTTACAGAATGTTTCAATCCTCAAGAGGTCTGCAACAGCAGCCCATGCCAGCCCTCTCCGCCTCGTAGGTTTTGTTCCAGTCTACCCCTCCGGTCTCGTTGTAGATGGTAACGTAGCACCACTGTTCCTCACAGCTCTGCCAGCCTTGGCTACAGCAAAGTATCCTAAAAGGTATCTTTAAAGACTATATTGCAATATGCATATAGCCTATGGATCAAAACTGGATAAAACAAAGGTGATTTTTAAGAGATGGTCCCCCTTTTAAATCAGAGTACATTCCAAAAGTTCTAGTGGATTCAATTGTTCAGGAAATCGTGGTACTATCCGTTGCTCATCCCCACAGATATGTTCCAATTTGCCATCTGGGAATGTTGCGCAGCCGTGGCATCCCCAAACAAAGACCAGGAGTTGAAGGCTACGTGATTTACTGGGTTTTGGAAAATGGATTGCATTGCAAATCCGAAAAATAAAACCAAATAAAACAGATATTGGGTTTCCGGAAAGTAGGGTATCCCTAAATCTATTGATGATTAAGATGAATTGCCCGATTCAAATGACCTTTTGTGGAGTCAGTATACCCCACTTTTGGACACAATTACCCTTACACTTAGTTTTCAGAAAATCCAACCCCATAAATTGTCCAGTATATGGTCACCCAAAATCTGGGACCTTGAGGCCAGTGCCGCCAGAGCTGCTGACGCTGCCGTCGCCAGTGCCAGCGTGGTAAGATGTACTGTATCCATAGTTCTGGGTCGTACTGTAGCCACCATAGCCGTAGGACGTGCCGCTGTAAGGATACGAGGTGCTGTCCGCCGTGTTGCCGTCCCTGAGCGGAACTCAAATTCGTTAGCCCAAATGTTTTTTTTAATGTGCCATGGTTAAGTTACATGGTTTATTAATGTTTATTATGGCTATCCAACCATTATTGTAGATGGCTATAGAGGTATGACCAACCCTCAATATGGGCTAATGTGGCAAACCCAATAATAAACCATCCCATTATATGTTTGCGGGTCATTTCACATCATCATCATCATCATCATCACAAATAGGGGTATATCGAATCACAAATGTCTATTGGAGATTGTTGATTGTTGGGTTTACCACATTAGTAGAATCATTGTATAATCCAACTTTTTGACCATTGCACAAATGAAGTAAAGTTTCTGATTTGTTATCTTTTTGTGAGCTGAAAAAGCGAGTTGAAGTAGCTGCAAACACCCTGTGAAGCTGAGCTCGGCACAGCCTTCGCCGGAGGACTTTTTCCTGGGCAGGGTTTGTGAAAATTTACCGGATTTGATATGCGTTCACCATCAAGTGTGGGGGTTCCCTGTACATGTCCGCATTCCTTCTGATAGTTTAAGATAACCATGGACAATGAACCATTGGTTTTACCAACGTCAAACACAGCCGTTTTCTATCGCCAGTAGTGATGAGGAAACCTGGCATGCAGCTGTCGGATCTAAGTCACATCCCAAAAATTGCTCCAAAATATACATACTATATAAATATATATAATACATATATGTATTATGAATATAGACTCATAGTTAGAAATGTTATAAATATTGTGTATATATATAATATCAACAAAAAACTACCTTTTTTGTGACATGCAAGGCATATTTATGTCAGTCTCCGGTCACCAAGGTGCCATCATGGAGGACCGCAATGGTCGGGCTGAGCTCTGCACCACATCCTGGGCAAGTTTTAAGCAACAAGCAGATGGTCATTGACCATCATTTTAAGCAACTAAGTTTAACTATTCAAATCATGAAACCATAATACTATACTAATCTATACTACGTTTTTTCTTGGAACTTTGGAGTCCAAAAATTGCCGATGTTCTCATTTCGCACCATTGAAATCCGCATCTGAGCAACTGCGGCAGTTGCTTTCAGGGCCGCCAGCAGGATGACCGGGAAAATCACCTGCATGGCCTCGGTTTTTTCACATCCCCTGCAGGGCGCCATGGAAATGGTTGTGGAACATCCCGGCGGTGACTCTGGGCTGTTTTTTTCGATTGTTTTTAAAAAAAGACCGGGGGATGGGAGTACTCCATTGTGCCATAAATTTATCCAAATTTATCCAAATGTCCGTAGATATATATAATCCCTACCTCTCAAGTGTTTGAAGGGGTAGACTCGAATCAGCATCCAAGATTTCATTGGGTTGCCATGAACATCTTTACTTTCCACAAGTGGCTGTGCATGCACCTACCCATGAAATTCAGCTGAGATGCCACCGAATCACACCAATGTTCGAGCTACGCTGATCTTCGTTCAGCAAATGTACTTGATCCACAAAATGGGAAGCATTTGGAACTCCGGGAGGTTAGTTCTGTTGACAGGTCTGTGTGTTCACAAGAAATTGACCCTCAAGTGCACCGCCTGTTCAGTCTGAACTTCTCTTTTTTGGAGCTGCGAACGCGACGAGCTTTCGCAACTCAAAATCATCCAAAAAGACAGGCTTCTCTTCCAAAAGGCAGGAAAAAACAGGGTCAGGCAATGGTTCTGCCGTTCCCTGAGCTGCGGAAGATAAGTAACAGTTGATCGCTATCTGAGCCGCTGCAATCAGCAGCAACAGCAACGTTCCAAGTCGTCGACCTACTCACCCATCCCCGTTTTCGAGCGCGAAGGCTCGCAAAGGAAGACTGGATGTTTCAAAATATTTGGGTATGGGTCAAAACCCTGGTACCTAGTGAACCCCAAAATAGCTGGTAAATGGATGTTCATCCCACTAAAAATGCATCTATAGGTATTGACCCATACCCATTTCAAACGGCAGAAGCAACTCGTGCACGAACTTTAGCACTCTCGGATCGGTGCTCTCCGAAAGACGGTGTCTGTTTTCAAACAGGGAGATCAGAAGGGATATCCCAGGGGTTCAAAATGTTCAAACATCTTTAAAGATCTTTAAAGTTTACTAAGGATGTGAATAAGGTGATTGTCAACAAAGTCACTGTTCGATCTGTTCGTCGTCCTATCTGTGTCATCAATTGTATCCTGGGGATCAGTGGGGGTATCATCCCTTTGTGACCAGCAAAATGTCCAAGTGGTAGGGTCAACAACTAAGAAACGGGCAACGTGTGTTTCTTCCAACTCGTGCACTTTCGATCACTTTCGCTTCCAAAAAAGTAGTTAATTTTTATGTTATATATAATTTCATCACATAAGATACAGGGCACCTCTGCTTTGCAGAGTTCGCTGTCATCGTTGTGTCACATGGCTCGTCATGATCGTCATGGTTTGACTTAGCTTCACTCCACAACGACCATGGCCAAGAGCAGTGCGGCAACTCCTTACGTATAAACGTTTTAAGAGTACCGTTGGTTGGCCCTGGGTCCAAAAGCCCAACGCACGGTCACGTCAATTGGCGGATGTGATGTGTTCCGAAATGTTCCGAATCATGTCAAAAATTAATATGATGTCCAGAGTCATGGCCCTTTACTAAGTCAGTAAGTCACCGCATTGATGGAATGATAACTCCAATTACAACCCTAGAAGAGAAGACATGATGAGGATAACAGGAAGAAGATGGAAGAAGGTAAATCGCAAAACAAACAAGACAAGAACGCAATCACCAAGGCAACATTGAGAAAGCATGTGCCTCGTGTTGACTCACAATGTTGATCCTGTGTTATGTTCATTGTAGATCATTGTAGCAGGTTTCTGAGGTTTCTTTGTTCTTACCCTTGTTTCGAGTTTATCTGCCATCCCTGAGACCATCCACATATGTAATCTTGAATGTGCGATGCATCGCTTCCGTGGCACGTCTTTTCTGAGGGTCAAAGTTTGGCATATTGAGGATGCAACATCTGCATGATCAAAGCTGCTAAGGGATATAGGGTTGGTTGATGTTGGTTGATCTAAAATGCCAAATTGTTCGAATTTTTGGTTCAACTGTCAACTGTCCGCAAACCGATCTTACAGGATACCAAAATTCTTCACAAACCATCGGCGAGTCGAACCGCCACATTCACTTGCAAACAAGCGTCCATGTAGCACCTGGGCTCAACAAGTACAGGGGTATGCTTACGTCCATTGTCAAGTATTGTCAAGGGTCAAAAACAGAGAAACCAAGTTGTGGCTTGTGAAACCAAGGGTGTTGCCAAACTAAACCAGACGTAAAAACCTCGTTTTCACCGGGACGGAACCGGGAGAACGCCCAAAACTCCCAAAATGTTTAACGTTGGATCATGTTTATGGAAATCGAGCCATGTTTGCCATGCAATTCATGCAATTCTTGGTTCCTTTGGATCGCTAGCCGCCCCAGATAGGGGGAGAAACTTGACCATGTTTCAGGTTGGGTTCCATGTAGGGTTTCATTCAGAGTTTTTTAGAGTGTCGTTTAGATTTTCTTTCGGATGCCATTTAGGGTTTCATTCAAAGTTTCGTTAGGGTTTCATTTATGGTTTCTTTAAGTTAATGTATGGTTTCTTTAGGGTTCATTTAGTGTTTCGTGTAGGGTTTTCTTAGCAGGAATTCTTTAGGGTTTCTTTGGGTTTTACCTAGGGCCTTAAGGTTTCATTTAGGGTACAAACAGGAGAGAATAAAGCAAAAGAATAAGGGTTTCATTTAAGGATTCTTTAGGATTTCATTTATATAGGGATTCTTTAGGGTTTCATGTAGGGTTTCTTTAGGATTTACATTTCTTTAGGGTTTCATTTAGGGTTTCTTTACGGTTTCTGTAGGGTTTGATTAAGGGATTCTTTAGGGTTTCATTTAGGGTTTAATCTTGGGTTTTATGTGGGGTTTCTTATCAGGAATTCTTATCAAGATTTTCACACGTTCATGTTGGTTTCTTGAGGATTTCATTAAGGGTTTCATTCAGGGTTTCTTTCGGTTTTCATTTAGGGTTTGATTTAGGTTTTCTTTATGGTGTCATTTAAGGTTACGGTTTCTTTAAGGTTTCATTTAAGGTTGATTTAGGGTTTCTTTAGGGTCTTTAGGGTTTAATGTAGGATACAAACAGGACAGAATAAAGCAAAATGAAAGAAAGAAAACAAATAGGCAGTAAAGACAGGAAGCAGAGAAGCAGAGGAGCAGAGGAGCAGGAAGTAGAGCGGCAAAAAACGCATGACTGAGGAAAAGAAAAAGTAGAATAGTAGTAGTAGAAGTAGAAAGGCATAGAAGCACAAAAGCAGAAAAGCAGAGAAGCAGAAAAGAAAAGAAGCCGGTAAAGCAGAGAAGCATGAAAAGCAGAGAAGCAGGAAAAGCAAAAAGCAGGCAACGCAAAAAGCAGAAAAGCAGAGGGGTAGACAAGCAGAGAAGCAGCAAAAGCAAAAGGCGGACAAGCAGAAACGCAGAGAAGCAAAGAAGCAGAAAAGCAGAACGGCAGAACAGCAGAAAAGCAGAGAAGCAGGAAAGCATAGAACCAGGAACCAAAAAAAATCCAAAACCTGCCGCGGAAACAAAATATCAATCCCAAGGAATTTAATGAATTTCATGGGGGTCCGGAAAGCAGATCCAGGGGGTCAAAAAAGCAAGGTGGGGGGTCAAAGAAACAAGGTGGGGGATCAAAAAAACAAGGTGGGGGGTCAAAAAAACAAGGTGGGGGGTCAAAAAAACAAGGTCAGGGGGTCAAAAAAAAACAAGGTGGGGGGTCAGAAAAACAAGGTTAGGGGGTTAAAAAAACAGGGGGTCAAAAAAACAAGGTGGGGGGTCAAAAAAACAAGGGGGGTCAAAAAAAACAAGGTGGGGGGTCAAAAAAACAAGGGCCCCAATTTACATCATTTGACCAATTTTCCATCCAAAATTGCAGCTATCATTTACCTACAATCAGTGTGGGCAACCCCGTTACCTTCGGTAATAAAATCATCGAACATCAAATGGTGGATTGTCCTTTTCGAGCCATGTTTGATTACCAGATCATCATTTGATCACACAACCCAATGATTCTCTAAATACATAACAAAAAATCCCGATCATCCAATGATTATTTCTCTAATACATAAATATTATATTATATTATATTATATTATTATTGTTGTAATTTATATAAATATCATCATACAAATATAGGAATTAGATGGAATTAGTATCCCATGATATCCCCATGATATGTTACACTTAAAGCCTCTGCCATGGCTCGCCCCGGTATCGGCATCCGAGGCACCAGTGCCTTCTTTGCGCCCGAGAAATGTGATTCCAGCCTGGCCGAAAAACGGGAGAGAGAGAGAGAGATCGAACAAAAACAATCTACATTGAATGATATATATTATATCAATGGCCATTTCAGGATCCTAATTTGGAGGTACCTACCATATATAAGGCCTATATAAGGCCTATGTAAGGGGATATCCCCCCAAAATATGGCCTTATATGGTACAGTACCTCTATTTTAGGATCCTGGAATTCCCATTGGATTAGAGCATCTGATGTCATTACTCATTACAAATTATCTGATAATTATATGAAAAATATAGCATCTTATGATACCTGATGTCATTACTCATACTGTTCTCTATACCTTTTTTCTGATGTACTGTCACTACTCATCTGTTTTTACGTGTATACATCTATGAAAATGAATCTATGAATTACCCTTTGGTAATTCAACATATCTATGGAAATCACCATAGGAATAGTCAATTTTCCAATGAAAAATGGTGGATCTTTCCAGTTCGTTATGTTAAATTACCAGAGGGTATGAATGGTGTTTTTTCATTTTTTCCAGCTCAAGGACCATCACACTACTTTGGACATATATGAACCATATCATCCTCGGCTGGCTGCTGGCTGAAACCAGCAGCCAGGCATTGCTGATGCAGAACGCAACACGAAACAACACAAGACACGTGTCGAAGCTTTAACAAAAAATGGCTTGCCATATCTTGCCATTATCCTTATCATGAAACTTGATGCTTCAATATGCTTCAATATGCTTCAATATGCTTCCATATGCTTCAATATGCTTCAATATGCTTCAAAATGCTTCAATGTGCTTCAATATGCTTCAATATGCTTCAATATGCTTCAATATGCTTCAATATGCTTCAATATGCTTCAATATGCTTCAATATGCTTCAATATGCTTCAATATGCTTCAATACTTCAATGTGCTTCAATATGCTTCAATATGCTTCAAAATGCTTCAATATGCTTCAATATGCTTCAATATGCTTCAATATGCTTCAATATGCTTCAATATGCTTCAATATGCTTCAACATGCTTCAATGTGCTTCAATATGCTTCAATATGCTTCAATGTGCTTCAATGCTTCAATATGCTTCAATATGCTTCAATGCTTCAATGTGCTTCAATATGCTTCAATATGCTTCAATATGCTTCAATATGCTTCAATATGCTTCAATATGCTTCAATATGCTTCAATATGCTTCAATATGCTTCAATATGCTTCAATATGCTTCAATATGCTTCAATATGCTTCAATATGCTTCAATATGCTTCAATATGCTTCAATATGCTTCAATGTGCTTCAATATGCTTCAATATGCTTCAATATGCTTCAATGTGCTTCAATATGCTTCAATATGCTTCAATATGCTTCAATATGCTTCAATATGCTTCAATATGCTTCAATATGCTTCAATATGCTTCAATATGCTTCAATATGCTTCAATATGCTTCAATATGCTTCAATATGCTTCAATATGCTTCAATATGCTTCAATGTGCTTCAATATGCTTCAATATGCTTCAATATGCTTCAATATGCTTCAATATGCTTCAATATGCTTCAATATGCTTCAATATGCTTCAATGTGCTTCAATATGCTTCAATATGCTTCAATATGCTTCAATATGCTTCAATATGCTTCAATATGCTTCAATGTGCTTCAATATGCTTCAATATGCTTCAAAATACTTCAATGTGCTTCAATATGCTTCATGTTCTTTTAGCCAAAGACCAATGCCACGATGTGGCAAAGGTGACCACTTTTTGATCTTGTCCGCCAATCCCATCCCCCCCGCGCGTTTCCGAAGTGCTCGCAGACGTACTGACCTCATGCGTGCGGAATGTTTCTCAAACAAAAGAAACCTGGCGGATGAAACGGTTATGGATCAAAACCAGTCAGAAACTATATATAAATACAATTTTTAGGGTGATAAACAGCTATTTGATCTTTTGGTGCTCACCAGGTATACAGGGTTTCAACCCATAGCCGATCTTCGTAATTGGATGCACGTCCCAGGAATCGTAAGTCGTTCTGTCCTAAAAATACCATGGGTTACAGTGCTCAAATGATCCAATTTTGGATGATTTGGGGTATCCCTATTTTAGGAAACCTCCATATGAGAAAATAACCAGTGGTTCAGCAGTTACGAACTCGAAATCAGTCATTGATAGAAGAGATGCCTCCAGGAAGCAACAAATGGCCTATGCAATGCAACCCTCCATTACTTTAAGAATTTCACAACCTATGGGATCAAGCGGTTGTCAGTGCTTCTCAAGGACGAGAATAGTGTATCTTTCGCCAACAAACCTCTGCACCTGCCATGTTTCCCTCTATGCCCTATGCTATGTACCATTTGTTGGTGGCCACATCTCGAACCCACGTGGACTTTCTCCAAAGATCGGTGCGGGCCTGCTGAGATGTTGTCGTAGAATCCGATGTGGACGCAACAGTTGATGCTGACGTGGACGCACCGGTTGATGCTGACGTGGACGCATCGGTTGATGCTGACGTGGACGCATCGGTTGATGCTGACGTGGACGCATCGGTTGATGCTGACGTGGACGCATCGGTTGATGCTGATGTGGACGCATCGGTTGATGCTGATGTGGACGCTTCCGTTGTGCTTGTTGAAGTGGTCGTGGTTGTGGTTGTGGTTGGCAATCGTGTTGTGATTCCAGCCTGGTGAAATTCAAGAAAGATCATTTGCTGCACACCTGAGAACCCAACCAACAGGGGGACACATTGTGACACTAGACCAGCAGAGCAAAGCCAAATGACAAGTACGAGTACCCCCTGCAAATTTTGGCAGTGATCCAAAGCAATGTCTCACCATGTCATGTCGCAAAGAAAAGTCGTGCATGTCACGTCACTGTCATATCATGCTTAAATAATGCAATGTCATGTCAGTGTCATGTCAATGTCCTGTCACTAATCATGTAGTCTCAGCTTCTCTCTTCGTCTTTTGCCTCATATCATCTCATGACTCATGAGATTGGTTCTCATGGCGCTTCATCTCATCGCAACAATATATACAATATCTCATCTTGGATATTCTTGGATTATCTCATCGTCCCTTCATGAGATCTCTAATCTTCTCTATCCCTAGCGGATCTAATTCATCATCTTGTGGGTCTCACCGAGAAAGAATTTTCTCATGTCATGTGTTTGTTTCACGAGATGAAAACATCAGATGTGTTGTAGTGGAAAAATGTGGAAAATGTCATGTAATGCAATGTGTAATGAAGTGTCTTATAATATCATATAATGTCATTTAACAAGTCATGTAGTGCAATGGCATGTAATGATTTGTCATGACATGAAACGTAATGGCAGGTCATCTCATATCATGTCATGTCCTGGAAAGCCCGGCCAAACACATGACAAGGTAAAGTCTGTAAAGACAACTGTCCACTGCATGGAAGCCAGGCCCAAGAACAAGTCAACAAACCAAAGCCAAGCAAGTGAAGCAAGTCGCAAGAGATAGTCAAGGAATGCAAGGCGAGGCCTATGCAAAGCCCTCTCGCCAAGCCGAGGAATAAAATCACTTGAGCAGTGTTCAAAAACCGATTCATGTCCATATCATATCATATAATTCATTGGTCAATAGAGATTCCCCTAGTGGATTGTAATATATTGTAATCATCTTCCATGTATTGAGTAGTATAGCCAGTATAGCCCGCAAACGAATCATCAATCAACTGGACCTTCTCGTTCTTCTGGTTCACGGCAGCTGCACTGCGACTCTGCAGGGTAGCACTGGAGGTCTCCAGGTTCACACCAGCCTTCGGAAGCGGAAGCCAAAAAGGCCCATCGGAATGGTGGGAGTGGATCCGGAATCCGATGATTTTTCATGGCCTACCCTCTGGTAAACTAACATAACTATGGAAAATCACCATTTTCAATGGGTAAATCCACTATAAATGGCCATTTTCAATAGCTACGTTAAATTACCAGAGGGTACCTGTTGAAATAGCAGAAATGTCATTGTCAATGTCCGCGACAGTCGTCGGAAAAAATGCTGAAACACCCCCGAACTGCCACCCAAAGCCAGTTCGCGCGGCCTGGGAATCAATCACTCCCACAGCGCTCACTGCCTCAGCTCAGTCCGGCTGGCTGGGATTTTTCTGACGAAGCAAAGCAAGGTGCCACCGTCTGATTGCAGCTGCTAAAATTCACCCGGAAAAAAAGGCGTTTGTAAGGAGAAGTTCAGATTCAAAATGAGGGTGCCTTTTTATCCCAGAAACTGACCTTGACTGACATGTTCCAGTTGGAGGCTAGCAAGTTTGCCAAAGCAAATATCCTAATTTTTGATATAATGTCAACCCTGGATTAATAAACCCCTAGGCTGTTAAATTGGGAGGGTACCATTTAAGTATCAAATCATGACTATTGGGGGAAGAATTAAGGCACAAAATCCTGACATCTGAAATCCCAATACCAAATAATTATGGCCTTCAGTTCATGACGGCTGGAGATATCCCTAGTTGCGGCAAGAGGGACACGGTATCTCCCATGATTTGCGCCGTAACAGGCTCGGGCCAGCCATCAGCCATCACCGAGGCGCTGATGTCAGGGCCGGACTGCTGCTCTTCACCATCTTCTTCAACTCCTCACAGACTTGTCCGGGAGTCACCGATGAGGCAATTCCTGCGCTGCGCATGGCCGCGCGCCAGTTGGAGAGTTGGCTGCAAAATCGGGAAAAGTGACCCAGCAAGGATCTGGAATCTGGATAAGTGGTCGTTTGAAACCTGATTCTATGAAATATTATATCCATCTAATTTTATAGTGTAAATGATGAGTAGATATTAGTGTAAATGCACAAAATTAGCAGGGCACGTGATAACCAGAGGGCGGTCAGCCAAGGGCTGCCATTGCTTTCCGACTCTTGGCCCGGATTTTATACAGATCAACCTGCCCATGGCCCCATGGTTGTAACAGGAGTAAAACGTTTTTTTCTCCAGACCTTTTTCCCCAGGGGTGTCTTTAGCTCGTCCGCCCAAGCAGCCTTGATTGTCAATGTAGAAGATCATGGTGCCTGCGGCTGTACTCAGTCGTCGACTGAATTTTCGATCCAAGCGACCTCAGCTAAACATGGCTGAAACAGTTTCAAGCAAGCTGCGCCCACGTGAATCAAAGGGATTCCCATCAGCATCCGGAACTTGACCACAAGAAATGGATGATGAACATTATGTTGTCACATGTTATCTTAGATAACTAAAAGATGTCCAAACATGTCCAAACTGTCCAGCAATACACAGCGCATCTTTCCAGGATGCGTGAGGTCGATGACTTAATGGTGAGGGTGGTCTTCAAACTGCTCGGCATTTGGAGTACCTGGAAGTTCTTCCATTTCAAAGCGCTGGGAACAAGGTAACATACTGTCGGTGTTTACATACTACAGGGCGTCGTTACTAGCGTGCAAACATATATACCTGCATACATAATATAATATTATATTATACCAGTAGTACCGCACATGGCGGTGGCGGAAGTTTCAAAAACAGGAAACCTATAGGAGAGGTTGGTTGTTGTGAATCACGGATGGCAGAGCGAATCCACTGTTGGACCGAAAGGTGGTTGGAACTGTGTTTTCTGGAGTGGCTGCAATGGTTGCAGTGGTCACCTCACCACAACTGCTGGATGTAGTGTGGTGTAGTGCAGTTGTAGTTGTAGTTGTAGGTGTAGTTGTAGTTGTAGTGTAGTGGAGTTGTAGTTTTAAGTTGTAGTTGTAATGTAGTGTAACTAGTGTAGTGTAGTTGCAGTTGCAGTTGTAGTTGTGGTGTGGTGTAATTAGTGTAGCGTATTGTATTGTACTGTAGTGTTGTGTACTGTAGCGTGGTACTGTATAGTGTAGTGTAGTCTAGTGTATTGTAGTGTAAAGTAGTGTGGTTGTAGTTGTAGTGTAGTGTCGTGTAATGCAATGTAGTGGCAGTTGCAGTTGCAGTTGTAGTTGCAGTTGTAGTGTAATGTAATGTAATGTAATGCAATGTAATGTAATGTAATGTAGTGTAGTGTAATGTAGTGTAGCGTAATGTAATGTAATGTCAATGTAATGTAATATAATGTAATGGAATGTAATGTAATGTAACTAGTGTAGTGTAGTGTAGTGTAATGTAATGTAATGTAATGTAATGTAATGTAATGTAATGTAATGTAGTTGTAGTTGTAGTTGTAGTTGTATTTGTAGCTGCAATGTACTGCAATTTAATTAGCGTATTGTAGTGTAATGTAGCGCAGCTGTAATTGTAGTTGTAGCTGTGGTGGTGGTGGTGGTGGTGGTAGTAGTAGTTGCTGTTGCTGTTGCTGTTGCTGTTGCTGTTGCTGTTGCCGCTGTAGCAGTTGCAATGTAATTTGTGTAGCGTAGCGTAATTAGATGTAATTAGTGTAGCGTAGTGTAATTAGTGTTGTGTAATGTAGCGTAGTATATTTGTAATTACTTGTAGTTGTAGACTTGTAGTTGTAGTTGTCTCTCTATCTATCTGTCTATCTGCAAGCTTGAAAACGAAGCTATTCTGCGAGACTTCCTCAGTTTTTGAACTTGACAACATCAAAAACGCAGCAATTCTGCGAGACTTCCTCAATTTTGAACTTGACAACGTCAAAAACGAAGCAATTCTGCGAGACTTCCTCATTTTTTGAAGTTGACAACATCAAAAACGAAGCAATTCTGTGTTGACTTCCTTCAAAAATGGAAACTTGAGTGTAGAGCTGACGGCCTGTACCAATGCGTTTTGTGATTTTTCCACTCCACCTGTCTGAAGTAGAGGGCCTGCCACGAAAAAGTGATGCCAGGTCATACGAAGTGCTGCACCTGTCGCGCAAAATCATCTTAGAACCCCTCTCAGGAAATCAGCGCCCGGACCTCCTAACAGCTCTGATGAACATGTCTCTTGTACTGCGGCTGCCACGGAAAATGCATCTTTGCAGATCCTCTTCAAATGTCCCACGCGACATCTGAACGTCAAAAAGTGCTCCAAACCCCCTCAGTTTTTTCCACTTTGACTTCCAAATGTGCTTCGCGCCACAACGGCGTGCACTTTTTCGACATCTCAACTTCCAAAAGTGGTCCGAACCTGGTGTGCTTTGTACATTTTGACTTCGAAATGTGCTTCGCGCTACAACGGCGTGCACTTTTTCGACATCTCAACTGCCAAAAGTGGTCCGCACCTGGTGCGTTTTGCGCATTTTCACTTGGAAATGTGCTTCGCGCCACAACGGCGTGCACTTTTTCGACATCTCAACTTCCAAAAGTGGTCCGACAATGGTGTGCTTTGTACACTTTGACTTCGAAATGTGCTTCGCGCCACAACGGCGTGCAATTTTCATCTCTCATCTGGCCAGCTGGCTCCGCACCCGCCGCTTTAGCGAGCCTACTTTTCGACCCTCCGCAGCCTCAAATCATTGGAAAAACACAACGTTTCGCGACTTTCCTACCTTTTCGCGCACCTTGATCATCTTTCTTCTGAGACTTTCTCTTTTTTGATCTTCTTTCTTCTTCTCTTCTCTTCTCTGCCTCTTCCCACCTCTGCTTTTCATTTGTCCATATTGTGGGAAGTTTGACTTCTAAACTTCCTTCGATTATATCATATTATATTAAATTATATCATATTATATTAAATTATATCATATTATATTACATTTTATGTCATATTATATGTTATTATATTATATTATATCATATTATATTATATTATAATATAATATAATATATTATTTTATATCATATTATATCATATTGTATTATAATATAATCTAATATAATATAATATTTTATATTATATTATATCATATATGTATATATTATAGTATTATATTATAGTATTAAATTATAGTATTTTATTATAGTATTATATTATATAATATTATATTATATTGTATTATATTATATTATATTGTATTATATTATATTATATTGTATTATATTATATTGTAGTGTAATATAGTGTATTATATTATATTGTATTATATTATATTGTATTAAATGTTATATTATATGAAATTAAATTATTTTAGATATTATATCATATTATATTATATTGTATTAAATATTATATTATATTATATTAAATATTATATTATATATTATATTATATTATATTGTATATTAGATTATATTATATTATATTATATATATATGAATGTATATTACATATATATATATACATATTATATTATATTATATTGTATTATGTTATGTTATATTATATTATATTATATATTATATTATATATTAGATTATATTATGTATACATAATGTATATCATGTATTATATATACACATATTTTGTGTGTAATAACTATACGACACACAGAACGAATTTCATGGTCCTGATTGGATGATGCTTTTGGGGCTACCCCCATGAACGGAAACCTCCACGAAAACATAGTATCATCATATTATGGGATAATAACATGATGATTAATATGATGATGATATGACTAATATTATCATTAATATCATAATATCATCATATTAATCACCAACAGTTGGAGCGAACTCTTTCTGGTACCACCTCGGAGGGTACACTGTTCATCTTCACTCGAACAGTCTCGGCCTTGGAGACAGCGTCTGCTCCTCAGTTTGGCGCATGACATAATGAACATTAATGAACTGATAGGCAGAACATGCAGAAAAACATCAAAAACAAGCAGCATGAGCACAAAACAGCAAAACCCACAGCATGATGAACTCGCCAAAGTCCGCACCAAGCCGCGCAGGCTGGACATGGTGATGATGGCGCTGCAGGTCTCTCGCTGGGCCGTTGTGCTCAGACGGCGCTTGCTCAGGCGTCGGCCGCCTCCGGAAGTAGCAGCATACCTAGCAGCGAGACCTCTCATCACTGGTTGGTTCACGCAGATTGTGCAGATTATAGTAGTCCCAAAAGACCAGTTGTATGAAGCGAGTAACAAGAAAAACATTCATAATCATCCATAAGCAAGAAGGCGATGCCGCATAATTAGCCACAATAAGCTGATTTACAGGAAGGTTAACCAGTGTTTATAGAAGAAAGATCAAACATGATCAAACCAGTTGGATGGGTAGACATCAAGCCAACCGCCACATAACTGGGGGGGGTGCCACCTTACAACAGCTTACAACAGCATTGCTCAATTTTTTCTAGTCCATCAGGATCGATCATCTAACAGCCTTTTGGGCTCCAGTTTGTAAAAAAAACATGAATGAATTCCCATGATATCCCCACGAAATCCCATCATGTGGGTATATCATGTGAATTATCATGGGAAAATTGTTATATCCCATGATTGTTGATGGTGTATCCCATGATTGTCGATGGTTAAATCAACACCAAACATCCCAGGCGCTTGTTGACGCAAGTGGTATCCACCGCGATCACCGCTCCCGATGGGCAGCGCTTCATTCCCTCGCCGATACCGCAGGTCGCATTGGCACCGATGCACTTCGCCTAGGCTTTGAGGTCAATGACGTCAGAATCACATCGGTTCCAGTTGCAAATGAAATTGAAATGTGTTATTTTCGGGTGCTGGAGATGTGTTTTATTCTTATGTTACTTAGATAGTATATGATAATATATACATATATAATATATAGTCGATACCACTGCTCCTCACAGGAACAGACTAGAACATACTAGAAAATCTCTATAACAATGATACGGGACCAAATGAAAGTTTTGAATGTGTTTGTTCCACTTGAGCGATAGAGCATTACACGGTACAAAAAAAAAAAAACAGCTGTAGCAGCTGCGGTGCTCATCAGCTTGACTGAGATGCCAAGTGAGCAGTTGGGACAATGCACATATGAATTTCAAACAATGTGGGTAAAACAATCATAAACCAACCATGACTGGGAATGGTAAACATACCACCTATAGAAATGGTGAAATTGTGGATGGCTTATTTTTGTTTTACCCACATTAATACCAATATATTGGGTAGATTTGGGTAGTACAACTCCCAGGGTTTGCTCAGGTTTTTTTCTGTTCAGAGCGGACATGGCACGGTCTCAGATTTGAAATCTCCCTTCTCGTCCAGGTTGATGAGCACGCAAGTCTGGTTGCCTTCCGGTTGACTTGCAAAAAAAGAAATGTTTTTGTGTTGGGAAAATCTACAGGAAACCATCGTTTGTGCCACAGTTTTAAAGGGGTCCTGTCGATTCTCCCATCAACAGTTGGAGTCAGAATACTGTAGCCATTGAAAATGGATGAACATGGCACATTAAGTTCGTTGATTTACCTATTAAAAAGATGATGATTTTCCATAGCTATTTGAGTTTACCGGAGGGTCTTCAATATCGTGTCATCTTCCCAGGTCGATGCGGCCTGCCAGGATGGCATCAACGCTGCAAGGCTCGGGGCACTTCTTGTGATTGTGGCTGGGAACACACTCTTTCTTCAGCACCTGGGGTCATGGTCCAATCCATGGTCATCCAGTAACATCTAATCAGTGCCATGGATGAGCAAGGTATGTGATGGTGTAACTTAATTTAATGTGAGTCGAGTCTTCCGACAGTCTTCGTCGAAAGCGAAAATATTCAATGTGTCATTGAGGATGCGACACGAATCTCCATTTTTAAGCGGAGCACATCATTGAAGAGTGATAGACAATCACCATGAGGGACAAGTTGTCAGGAGTCACTGACCATCCCACCCCTTTTTTCGTCATCGTGCAACAAACGGTGCAACTTGTTGCAACAAATGGTGCTCTCACGTTTCAAACAATTCCCAGCCACATCCCCCAAGGTAGTACACTTCAGATGGGAATGGGTCAGGCCGAAAAATGGGCTACCCCCATAACGGGACGGTTTTCCCCCTTACTCGATGGCCATAGCTGGCGTGCAAAAAATTCAACAGCTCTAGACACGCCGTAGTGTAATCCAAAGTTTTTTTTGGGGGGGCTTCCACAAATGGTACCCCAATAGCTGGATGGTTTACAATGGAAATTCCTATTTAAATGGATGATTTAGGGATACTTTCATGGATTGGAAACCTCCAGCCAAGGCACATCATTTGGATCAGGGCAGCTGATGGTGTTCTTTCCACACGGACAGGCAGTGCCCTCCTTGACGCATTGAGTGGAGAATCCGGTCACCACGCCATTCTTGTCGTAGTCCACCACATTGCAAGTCGTCTCAGATCCCTGCCACCATCATGCCATTCCCCCCATGGCTATAGGATGCTATAGGATGGTATAGGAAAACCCATGGAAAACCCTGATGACCATCCAAAAACAAAACTGGATGAATGCAACCCTTGACCCTTGCAGCACAAAAAATTGGAGTTTCTGCCAGTTGGGTCGATCTTTGCCTTGCAAGGACAAACCAACTCCTTTTCCGCCAGTGGCAAGCACAGGTCGCTGTTGTCACACCTCAGGCACAGTACGTTCGAGATCTCCACAGCCCATTTGTTGGGACTGTTGGGATGAAGAATGTTCGGAACATGTCGAACCATTTCAAACCACTCACCAGCATGTGTAAAAAACAAATGCTACTCCAATGTTCCCCAACGTCATAACGCTTCTTCCCGACCTAAGAAACTTGTTCGACTGTTCACCAAATTGGCTCTGAAGCTGGCACTGGATTTAGCACTTCGGGGTCTTAAGTCCTGGATAACCCCCTAAACCAATGGTTTCCCTATGAAAAGGCACCATGTTTGAATAACTTGGGGTCCATAACTTAAGAAAAACAAGTCACTTTCCATCACGCTCCCATGATAATCATGTTTTTTTTCAGGCTTGCTGATTAAACTCCTGTCATTTCGTCCAGATGCTTGGCAGTGTTCTTGCCGCACTGGCATGTGTCGTCGCTGGGAACCTGAGACGATCTTCATTGGGATGATCATCCTGTTTTGTTGATAGAAATGGGATGCAAAGAAATGTGTGATGTATTTTGTATGCATATGTCATGAATGTATGTACGTATGTATGTAACAATGTATACTGATTATATATATATAGATTACATATATATATATATATATATATCAGAAAGGACTGTTGTGGCCGCCCAAATCTCACACTTAATATGTATAAAGAATACTTCTTGTGAGATTTGGGTGTCACAACATTCCCTTCCGAGAACTTGTGTTCTTGTGAGATTTGGGTGTCACAACATTCCCTTCCGATAACTTGTGTGTTGATATCTGTTCAAGCCCCAAGGATTAATCTGGATTAATCTGGGACCAAAAAAAACAAAAAAAACCAAAAAAAACAAAAAAAACAAAAAAAAACAATGTTTTCAGGACTACTTGGATCAGGGCTATCTTTAGACTAGTCTCCAAAACATTGGTTTTTTTGGTTTTTTTTGGTTTTTTTGTTTTTTTTGGTCCCAGATTAATCCAGATTAATCCAGATTAATCCAAGCTAATCTACGATCATCAGATCTATTTAACATTTAAGTACTAACATGTGGTTGGCTAATTTTCTATATTCTCTGGTCATCTGCCTTTATTGGCTTTTAGCGCCGCTCTCTCTGTGTCTGGACTCCTGAAGCAAGTTAATCTAAGATCATCAGATCTATTTAACTACTACTTTCTAACATATGGTTGGCTAATTTTCTATATTCCCTAGTCATCTGCCTTTATTGGCTTTTAGCGTCGCTCTCTCTGTGTCTGGACTCCTGAAGCTATGGCATGTGGTTGGCTAATTTTCTATATTCTCTGGTCATCTGCCTTTATTGGCTTTTAGCGCCGCTCTCTCTGTGTCTGGACTACTGAAGCAAGTTAATCTAAGATCATCAGATCTATTTAACTACTAATTTCCAACATGTGGTTAGCTAATTTTCTATATTCCCTGCTCATCCATCAAATATAGGCCATGTCGTTTGAATCCACAAGTAAGCATTAGCACATGGAAGTTTCCTCAAGTAAGGATCCATCAAATATATACCATATTGTTTGAATCCACAAGTAAAGATTGGCACATAGAAGTTTCTTCAATTAAGGATCCATCAAGTGACCCTCCAAACAAAGCCTGAGTACTTTATGCCAGGCGCAGGTTCATGTAAAGATCATATCATTGTCTTTTTACCATTTTGGGACCAAGCATCCATAACATTTGAAACATGCTTCTTTGTTGCAGGCAAAAACCTGGGGATACTTGAAACAGTTTTGGATTTTCCATATACATTTTTCCAATAGTAGCTAGCACTTCAATCTCTATATGTTCACTGACAGTTTCCTCCAAAGATTCTTACTTGAGATTTACATGTGATGCTCTTGGATCTGTACAAATGCTTACTTGTGAATACAAAGAAGTTTATTGTTTTGTTTAAAACCTCTTGACTTGAGATTTACATGTGATGTTCTTGGACCTGTACAGATGTTTACTTGTGAACACAAACAGAAACTTGTATTGTCCTGCCTAAAACATCCTTACTTGAGATTTACATGTGATGTTCTTGGATTTTTGTGGTATATTAGAGCATCTTTACTTGAGATTTACATGTGTAGGGGATGATCCTGGGCCTGTACAGATGTTTCCTTGTGAGCCAAAAGAATCTTTTATGGTTCCTTGAAACCTCTTTACTTGAGATTTACATATGATGATCTTGGATCTTTAGAGATGCTTACTTACTTGTGAACAGAAATAACCTTTTATGATTCTTCAAATCATTTTTGTAAACAAGTGCACTGGGCCTTTGCACTTGCAATTGTTTCAAAGTTTTGGGAAAGGAAACAAGTTGCTTTGCCAGTTTTGATTGCATCACACTATGAATTTTATATGTCCATATTGGTGTCCAAAGGTTTGGGAATCAGTGGAATCAAGTCCAAATGTATAATCAAAATCCTTAAAAACCACATGTCAGCCCTTGAATTTCATATAAATTTTATATGAAGTTTATATGCAGTTTATATGCAGTTTATATGCAGTTTCAAAACTACATGTAGTTTATATGCAGTTTTGACCAAACTACATGTAGTTTATATGCAGTTTTGAAAACTGCATATAAACTGCATATAAACTACATATAAACTGCATATAAACTGCATACCAAAAATCTACAGATTTTGAATGATTTTGACATGCCTGGAAAGCTGAAAGCTTGAGATTTTGAACTGCTGCTGCAAGAAAATTTGTGATTTTCAAGGATGACAACTTAGAAAGAAAAAGTATATATACACATGCAAGACCTTTTAGGCAGACCACTAACTGAACCAAAGATACTTTGATGAAATGAACCTGAGGGCCATTGCTGCTAAAGTTTCAGATCCTTTTCAAAACTTGGTAAAGGCTGCAAATAATGTTTCTCACGAAATAATTTCATATGTGTCCCATGACATTTGTCAAGACTGCCTGGAACTTACCAAATAAAATTGCAAGACATTTGGCTAAACAATGGTTCAAGAGTTATTAATGACTTTTTTGTGTAGGTTTCCCAGTGAAATAGTTCATGGTTAATTAAAAACTTGACAACAATAGTTAAAAAAGAGGCGGCCACAACAGTCCCCTCCCATATATATATACTGATTATAAATGCTGATATATATGTGTATATATATACAATATTATACACTGATTATATATATAATTACACTGATTATATATACTGATCGTATACATATTAGATATATACACTGGTTATCTACTCGTAGACAAAAAATGCGCAAATGAAACAACCAACCGACCAGACAAGAGACACAGAATTCCTGGTCGCTGATAAAGACGCCTCCCTCTGTGAAGTCCGACACGTAGCCTGAGGCGACGAAGTATCACTCAACATGACCCGAGACTAAGCGATAGAATGGACAGCTAACCTATGGTGAATACTGGTTTATAACAGCGAATAATGGTTAATCATGATCATGGTCAAACATGGTTCATAATATAAGAATGGTTGATAATGGTTAATACTTGTTACTGGTTAGTAATGGCAGCAGGACAATCCAAAACCGGATTGAAGGGGAATCTCCCAAAGCGATGGAAATTGAAGAGCCAACTTTGTTGCGCGCTGTAGGAAATGGGGGAATGATTATTGGGATTCAATTAATGGGGATATATGGGGATATAACATGATATAACTATTAACATTATTAACAGTCATCCTATTCCCACATTCCCCAGACGCACTTCCGTGAAAATCTCACAGCGCATGGGCGACGATTTCACCATGGGATTTTGCGCGCCAGGCAGCACTTCTTCTCATTCGCTCCGCATTCCGCAGCACATCCTTCGTCCTTGAAGATGCAGCCCTGATTTGGGCAGCGGGAAGCCTCTTTGCCGCCTGAGATGAAGCGGAAGCTTCAACTTCGAAGATCAAACGACCAATTGAAGGTCCGAAAATCTAAGGAAAGAAAGGAAATAAATAGTCACCCACAAATTTGATGGGTATGTCATGATTTTCCATGATTTTCCATGCCAATGGCCTTTTTGGGAACGTATACCCCCTTTTCAGACTGGCCCTGAATCTAAGTTTCCCGACAGGGGCATTGATCGTAGCTTGCAGCGCATTTCACGGAAGGTTGAACCAATCCCAAGGATGTTCCGTTGGGCAGGTAGTCTTCGACCATGTCACAGGCAACTTCACCCTTGGCTAAGAAGGATGAGCAAGCGCTCTTTCTTACGAAAAATATTGGAAAAATGCTGGAAACATGTTGTTTTTGAAGACTGTGGAAACATTGAAAAGCCGCAAAATTGACCTTGACTTTCTGAAACGAAGAACCATGTTTTTCAACATGCAGCAAGGGTTGCCGATATCTAAAACACGCGTTTTCTCTAAGGATGCCCTGGTCGAGCTGCATCTGGGCAGTCAGTTGGGCAATATCCGTTGTGCGTGGGCAGGCATTCCGTCCAGGATCCCCACAGCCTGGGGCGACCATCTGTAAAAATCTGCCGTTTTTTTTTGGAAGCGATTTGCAGCCATTTAAACACCTGTTCCCTTAGAGAATGGTTCACAAGCCAAATCATGTTAAGATATGTTAAGCATGAAAAGATATGAATTTTGTGCAAGTCAAAGGAGCGGATCAGTCCAAGTGCAAGAGAATGCGTTTTGCCCCTTGGTGCAATCGCAGGCTTGGCCTTTTGGAACGCATTCCTCCTGCAAGCGTGAGGGTACTGGTTTGCATGATAGCTAGATGGATACTGAATGATATCCACATGGAGAATGCATGAAATTGCAAGGTATAGAAACACTCCGCAAGTCCTTCCTACTTTCAACTTGCGATTCTGCTATGTCTAGTCGCCACAGAGTCCCTGAAGCCCCCACCGTCGTGCTGATCCAATTTCCCTTGGCGTCGTAGCTAGGAATGTAGCAGTAGTCTTGCTCGTCGGTGCAGTAGACTGGGCACTTCATCTGTTCATTCGACCTGAGAAGCACAATTTCTTCTGAGTGGACTATGGATGACTATGGATGACTATGGAGCAAGTTATCTTCTGACTACAGGTGAAGGATGAAGAAAACTCGTATGGCATGTTCGTCCGCTTTCCCGCCCCATTCCTGGAGTTTGACATGGCCGAGCAGCCAGAAGTCAACCAAAGGATAGCAGAAGTTCTCTTCGAAGAGTGGATCATAGCATTCTTGAGAATTGGTTCCGCATGGGCAGGACCGAGTCTGCGCATGCACAACATGAAGTATTTAAGACTTGTTTCTTACTGACTTGTAAACACAAGTCAGCACCCATGTGGCAAAGTGAGCTGCTTTTGGTCCAGTCAGAACGAAGTACTTATATAATATATATATATAATGTATGTATAAATCATAAGAAATCACCAACCCACAGGGATTTTGGGGATAGTTACCCCTTAACGATCACTCCAGCGATATCCAAACGGATCCATGAAAAGTTTCACAAGGACATCAGCTCCAAACTTTGGCTAAGCCTCCGACGATCCCATATAAAAGGAGGTTCTAATAGGGGAGAATCAACTATCAATATCTATCAATGGGGTATTTCATGGTATTTCGATGTATTTCGGTATTTCCCATATTTCCCATTGCCATGTTTGATTAGAGGCAAACCCTCCATGTGAATCCGCTGCCACGCCTGTGAGACGCAGCTTTCAGAGAATTTCTCTGGGTATCCAGAGGCATTGTAGTCGGTTTGGTAGCCTTGGAAGGTCCGAAGCTTTGCAACCTGGTATACCCTCTGGTAATTTAACATAGCTATGGAAAATCACTATTTTTTATAGGAAAATCCACTATAAATGGCCATTTTCAATAGCTATGTTAGTCATTACCAGAGGGTAACCTGATGTACAGATTCTGTGTACAGATGATACCAGATGATCAGGATATATCAGTATCAGATGACCGACATCTCAAGATAGCGAAAACGACCTACTGAAATCTCAAGCTGATTGAACAGATGAAATCATCTGGCGCCAAGTTTTCACGGGTTTTTTTTTGTGAGTAAGTGCCAATCGGCGACAACGTAAACCACTGCGTTTACCAAGGAACACCTCTTCTGCTCTGAAGTGCAGGTGACTGGACATGAGTCAACTTCTGGAAAGCACCACTCCTGTGATCTCATGGGTGAATGTCAAAGGTTGGCCGTCAAATCATCTAAAAGTTAAGGAAAAATGGGAAGTGTAAACTCCAAATGACTCCAAGAAAAAATAGATGTCAACCCCTGGCAATACCACAGAGACATCACACATCTAGCATCACCGCTGGTTTTTTTGCTGCCATAGTAGCAGCGCTGAAAGCGTCTTCCATACCTTTAAAGGATGCGGCTGTCTTGAAGTCTGGCTCAGGATAGTGGGGCATCCCAATTTCGCATGTTTCAGGCCCAGTTTAGTCGCTCCTCTTCATAACCCCAATCATCTGTCCATTTGCAGGGCTTGGCATTTGCACCACATGGGCAGGTAGCATTCAATTTTGCGCAAGTTTCTTGGACATTGGCATCTGGGTCCTTGGAAAACCACGGCATGTGCTACCAGCTGAGAGGTGTTGTGTTCTCTGGAGATTTCCGATCAAAGATTGTGGTTCAGTAATATTGCTAGGTATGTAGATCACTGGTCTATCACAAAACAAATGTATCACACGATTCATAGGCCTCATTTGCCCAAGGACTTACATTTGGACCTATCCATTGAGACCCCGCGGTAGCGAGGTCGTTTCGACTTTGAAAGGTAGCTTGGCTTTTCAAGCTTTGCACTAGGAGTTTTCTTCGGTTTTCCACCGAATCCAAGTTGTGGTTACCATAATTATTGCCATAACAAACCAGCAGAATCTACCCATCCAATGGCAACCATTGCTGCTGGGCATCCCAAAGACCTCCACAAAACACAGCACGTGGAGCGTGGGGGCCAAGAAATGGCCAAAAACAGGAAGGAGCATGACATGATGGGTTGTCATTCGGACATTCCACTAGGTAAACGCAGAGCTGTTTTGTGAGTCATCGCTTGTAGTTTTCGATCTGTCTGGTGAAACTACGGAGGCTACGGATGTAGTCACTTCCCCTGCTTCCCCTGCCTTCAGGTGTGTAGGACGTGGGGTAGCAGTACTTCTCATCCGCGGCGCAATTCAATGGGCAACCATAATAGGTTGACTCGCAATACGACCAGCCATCAAAGGTGCCTACAGCGGATGCCAGGAGATGTGCCCCAACGAAGATTTAGCAATAAAAGAAAAGAAAATCCCAGGAGTATTTAGGAAATGTGGCTTTAAATGTGGTAAACCTCCCAACTGGCCATTTTACTGCGAAAATGGTGATTAACCAGTGGATGGAATATGATGGAATGGGGTATCCAATTTCCAAACAAGCCTGTGTGTTTTCTCAGTGTTTCAAGGTCGCCAAGATACACAGTTCAGCATTTGTACCACACGGGCACTGTTCATTCCTTGGCCAACACTTGTCAGTGCCATTGACGTACCAGCCTGCGCCGCAAGATTCATCCATTTATGTTTGAACATGGAGAAAAATGGTGTCTGAAAATGGGGGGTGCCCCAAATATATTGTAGTTTGAGTAGGGAAAAAATGATGATTAACCGACCAATATAATCCAATCCCCCCAATATTAAACACCCCCTAAATGGTCCCAAATATGTGTAAATCCCCTCCCAATTATGTGGTTTCATCCGCTACGTCCACCATGGCTTCTGGGCTGTTGAATCTTAGGGGGAAGGGATTTACCAATTTCAAGCTGCAGCTGCGCTGGAATTTTTCGTTTTTCAGGTCCCGCCTTGGGCGTCATAGTTGGAAACCCAACAAGTCTGCTCTTCCGAGGTGCAAACTTCAGGGCATTCGTCCTCAGGTTTTTGGGGCCGCTTTCATAGCACTTACCATCGGGAGATTCAAACATGGCACTTGGACATCCCAGATTTATAGTGCTATGAACCTAGGGAAATCTCATATCCAGAGTGGGTAATAAAATGTAATAAATAGTTTTTCGTTGGAAACGTTTATAGATGATTTATGATAATTTGCCTTTAAAAAAAAGGTGATAAATGGGCATTTGACATAGGGAAATCGTCTATAAATGGAACGCGTTGGAAAACTCGGAACTTCTGATTGCATCCGACCATACCCGGCCACGGTCCAGCCAATTTTCATCCACTTTTCATGGATCCATGTAGCCCAAAGCAACCACAAAAGGGAAGTGAGATTCAACATGTTTGCCCAATGTCTTTTCCCTTACCCTCTGGTAAACTAACATAACTTTGGAAAACCACCATGTTTAACGGGTAAACGAGCTAAATCAGCCATGTTCCATAGCTTTTTATATGTTTACCAGAGGGTGCCCAACATCAACCCATCGCGTTTCCCGTAGGCTGTGCGGTCGCCCCAGGCTCGGTCAACGGCACGCACTCGGCATAGTCACCGGTTCCACAGGTCTTGGCTGTTGCATCGTCGCAGATCACAGGGCACCACCAGTCGTCTGCACCTCGGCCGGGGTTACCAGAGCCCCAGGGGCCTCGAAATTATAAAAAAGGGGATGACTATCCAGGTGAGTTTGGGGCTACCCTATCTTCAAACGGATCCACAAAGATGTGTGCGTATATATATATATATGTATATATATATATGTACAATGACATGTATTTATGCATATGTATATATATACATATATATATACATATATATATATACATATGCACATATATATATATATGTCTGTGTGTTCGTATTATATAGATAACTATCAACATTTATGCATATACTGTATATAATTACTTTATAGACTGTAATCATGATTACAAACTAGCTACGAACTGGGGTGCACTTGTACTCAGCAGGAGCCTCACAACACTCAATGAGTTCCAATACCAACTGCGTGCAGTTGGTGATTTAAGCAGGCATGCAAGTTGGTGACCCAATTTGCACAACAAAAACACTGTCATAGACAAGCTGGAAAGCGTGAAGAGTGGATGGATGTGGAACATGAGACCTCAGAAACGCGCTTTTTCACGGCAACCGGAAACACAAAAAACACACGTCACACTTTGCCAAAACCATATCGGTTGCAAGCCACTGGTCTTGGTGTAGCAGTACTCAGTCCATGTCATGAAGCCCTGAGAGTCGAATCCTGGAAATTGGCGGCGAGTACAACATCATAATTATAATGACCAATGGACCCCATGATATACACTATGACCATAATGATATCCATTATATTCCATCATATCCCATTGTGCCATTATATCCCCATAGTCATAGTGGAGTATTGGAAAAACCATCAAAAAAAACGATTCCTGCTTCGGAAATCGATGGAAATCTGTCCTACGCGGTAGCACCAGTTCTCCGTGTCGTAGTTGCACGTCAAAGGGCCTCAACTGCAAACAACTCTCCAACACTGGATACAAATCTTCTGTGGTGCTGTGAAATATGCAATCTGTAGCAATGCCGCAAACCGTGTAACCTGCAGGAGGTTTGCTGCAGAAATTGGTGTCAAGAAATATCAATTTTCACCATTTTTCCCCCATCAGTTGTGATGGTACTTGAAAGGGGGTGAAACGAAAGGTAGATTTGTGTCTGAAAATAAGGTACCCAAAAAATTCATTCGTGCATCAATTTACAGTACCCATGACCAATGTTAATATGTTGGGGTATCCAAATCGTTTTCGGACACACGCACAATCATTTTTTCAGTTGGGAATACATCCCACGGAGCATCCCACCAAATCCCAAATGATGCTCAAATCTCGATGGTTTTTCATGGTGTTTTTTCTGTTGCCATGTGTTGGTGTTGTTAGACGTAGCATTGGTGTTAATGGTGGTGTTGTTGTTGCTAATGAGGTTGACAATATGCTGTTGATATGTGGTTGATTGTGATTCCATTGTTTCTTCTTCTTCTTCTTTTTCTTCTTCTTCTTCTTCTTCTTCTTCTTCTTCTTCTCTTTCGTATTTTTCTTATTATTATTCCTTTTTGTTCTTCTTTATCATCATCAGCATCTTGATTCAAGTAAAAGGAATTGTGGTAGGAAAAACTTGTATTCGGACAAATTGAGATGGACAAAGGAGATGTGAACGGTGATTATACTCACATGGTGCTTTCGCAAATCCTTTCGCGGTGCGAACTCGCCACCACACTCCCGGCGAACTCGCGCAGTGAACATTTGACAGAACTGCTAAAAGTGGAGCTTCCGCCATATTTGGGAAGCTTATAAGATCAAAACAACCTGTGATACATGTGTATATACAGAATATATGATATGATATATCACTACTTAAAATCGGTCAATCATCCACTTTCGCGAAGCTTTCGCGACGGTGTCTGTCCATTTGGTCTTCGCCAAGCTTTCGCACAGCTTTCGCGAGTTGGTTTTTAGCTTTTGCCGGCGCTACCCAGTTTGAGCCCAAGCAAAACCCTCTACATAAGGGTTTTGAACGCTGCTCATGTGTGAAGAGAGCGTAAGCAGGAGGCACACGCAGCCGCGAAAGCGGGAAAGGAGCAAAATTCGACGCGCAGCAAAAAGGGCCCAAAATACCGGCATACCCTTCATTCTTTGTGAGTTGTTCGCTCAGAATCAAACAAGTTCGCATTCACATTTAAAACCAGCGTAAAATACCATGTTTGGCAAAAACATTGGTCTTCGCGGCGCTTTCCTCTTTCCATGTGTGTTGTAACCTTCAAAGAGTCAGAAACCTCACGACGCAAAATCGCCATCAATTACAATGTGCATTTGGCAATGAGGCAAAAAACATCAAAAAACAAAAGAATTGGTAGCAGAGGCCCGCGGTGACAGGGCGGGGGGGGGTCAAAGGAAGAGATTCTTGCATGACAATTAAAAATAGAGGTGGGCTGGCCCAGTTCACGTAGCCCTCCCTGGCTCTACCTTCAATGACCAGTGGCAGGACTCCCCGTACCATTCCTTTGCCCAGCACTCAATCTTTCCTGCGGCGTCCTGCGATAGGGTGAGCAAATCCATCAGAGAAAGATGCTCCACAGAATTCATACAAAGCTTAACCCATTCGTTCAAGCTGAAACTTCGCAACTGCACTGCGTAAGCAAACTTGGTCAATTTGTAAACATAATCCACCACTCGGTCCGGGCAGGCAAGTTCATCAGCTTCACAGGTGCATCCGCTGTCAGTGGCACAGCTTGTGTTGCCGGAGTAGTGCCAGCCTCAAGCTGCCCCGCAGGAACTACCGGGGCAACCTGATCCGACTTGACAGCCCTCATATGTCAGAATTCCATTCTATTGTGGCACGTTTTTCTTGAGGATCTAGGTAATATATTTATAAGATACGGTAGTATTAAATAATTATTAGGTAGCATGAATATGTTGCAGTTGTTGCAACCCCAACCGCAAAATAAGGATCCCAATCGGATGCCGAGTTGCATGTGACAGCGTCGCCACAGTTGACGGGGCAAGGGTCAAACTTGCTCTGACACCAGGAGTAGCCTAGTGAGGCATCAGCATGTTGCAACAGGGCACCGGTCTGAGGTTGAAGCAAAATAAGAAGCAATCTCTTCTGTGTCTCTACGTGCACGAGTGCTTTAAAAACCTTCAACCTTCAATGGTGTTTTTTTTCAGGAGTCGATTGGGCACTGGTGCTCAGTCATGAGGGACAACCAACCTTCACCAACAGCCTGTCATAGAATCACCAAAGATGATGCCTCATGGTTGCAAGTACCACTAGCTAGCTGGGGGATTGTTTGGCAGCTGCTTGGAGATGTGACGTCAGATTTTTTTCCATGGTTTGAGAAGTACATCCCCATTTTTGCTGACTGCCACCTATCTCCCCATTTTGAGCTCTGAATTTCCCTAGACCCCTACACTAATCGAAAGTTGATTCGGGTAGCCGCCCTTTTCCAACACAGGGGCGCTGCACCAACGACAAGTAGCCATCGCCGTTGCACTTGTGCTCCCAGGTGGCATCGCAGGGGCAACCCAGGCTGGCATTAGCGCAGCTCTCCTGCGGGCGCGTGAAAGGTAGAGAAGCTCTCCATTGGGAGTTATGTATTGTTGGCTATTAGGTTGGCAACATTTGGCAACTACGTACTATTGGGAGTTATGTATATTGAAGTATATTGGTATAGTAGATACACCAGCCAGTTGCTGGTCTAGCAGTGAAGATGTTACGCAGCCGGTATAGCTGTTGTATAGTTAGCAGTTGGGTTGTACGCAGCATGTAAGTTGACACACAGCTGGTATGGAGCATATAGTATAGGTAGGAGGCAGCAGGGAAGTTAGCAGGCAGCTGAGCTGGTACCCAGGTAGTTGGTACAATAAATGGGGCGAAGGGAGGATACCAGGGTGGTAAAAGGGAAACTGAGTCATACTAATCCCTTCCCCCTATTTCTAAACGTCCTCCAAATACTAAAAACTAGGGTCCATCTCCAATTTTGGAAAATTTCAGATTGGCCAATTTGACTTTTAATTGATCCCCTTTAGAGAACAATTTAAAAATAAAGCTACCATTTGTGGGTTTTGCCCCCTAATATTCAAAACTAGTCAACCCCGGGGTGTTTATTATTAGGGTCCGTCCCATTTTTTTAAGTTTTTTTATTTATGGCCTTTCATTTGGCCCGCTTCGAAAACCAATTCTTGGCAATATTTTAATTGCATTATATAAGGAAATTTAATTGATTTTGAAATTGAACAAACTAGTTTTTATTATTACAGAAAAGGACGCTGTGCGCCCGTGCGTTTTGCACTGTTTTCCTTGTAGTGTTTTGCAGTGTTTTCTTCTTGCAGTGTTTTCACATCATCAAAGGGCCACAATAGGCCACAATATGCCCAAATATGCCAAAATAGGCCACAAAGATCTAAATAAACAAAAAACAAAAAAAACAAAAAAAATTACTTTACTTCGTGTGATCCCCACCATGACATTTATACATTTTCTTACTGGCAAATCTTCTGGCATTCTATCTGACATATCTTCTGGCATTCTATCTGGCATTCTATCTGGCATTCTATCTGGCATATCTTCTGGCATTCTATCTGGCATATCTTCTGGCATATTATCTACTCAAATCTTCTGGCATTCTATCTGGCAAACATTCTGGCACTTTATCTGGCATATCTTCTGGCATTCTATCTGACATTTTATCTGGCATATCTTCTGACATTTTTTCTGGCATTCTATCTGGCATATCTTCTGACATTCTATCTGACATATCTTCTGACATTCTTTCTGGCATATCTTCTGACATTCTGTCTGGCATATCTTCTGACATTCTTTCTGACATTCTTTCTGGCATTCGATCCGGCATTCTGGCATATCTGGCATATCTTCTGGCATTCTTCTATTCTATCTGGCATATCTTGTGACATTCTTTCTGACATTCTTTCTGGCATTCTATCTGGCATATCTTCTGACATTCTATCTGACATCTTTTCTGACATTCTTCCCGTTGAGGTCCGGCAGTGCCCACTGCGATCTGGAAGTCGCGGTTGAGGTCCGGCAGTGCCCACTGCGATCTGGAAGTCGCGGTTGAGGTCCGGCAGGGAACACTGGGCGTGGATGGTCGTGGTTGAGGTCCGGCAGGGAACACTGGGGGAGGATGGTCGTGGTTGAGGTCCGGCAGGGAACATTGGGCGTGGATGGTCGTGGTTGAGGTCCGGCAGGGAACACTGGGCGTGGATGGTCGTGGTTGAGGTCCGGCAGAGAACACTGTGGATCGCGGGTCGCAGTTGGACGAGGACGACGAGGACGACGAGGACGACGAGGACGACAAGGACGACAAGGATGACAAGGAGGACGAGGAGGACGAGGAGGAGGAGGAGGAGGACGAGGCAGGAGGCAGGAGGAGGCAACTGACATAAAATCTAACAACCCTCACCTGGCAGGTGGGGAACCAAAAAAAACAAAGATTTCTAGAGACTGCAGGCATTGGGGGCATGTCTTTGGTTTTTTGTTTTTTTTGGTAGTACTGGAAAGTAGCTTCGTAGTACACAGTAGTACTGGAAAGTGCTTTGTGCAAGCTTTGTAGTACAAAGTAGTACTGGGAAATCCTTCGTGCAAGCTTTGTAGTACAAAGTAGTACTGGAACGTGTTTTGTGCAAGCTTTGTAGTACACAGTAGTATTGGGAAGTGCTTTGCGTTAGCTTTGTAGTACAAAGTAGTACTGGAAAGTGCTTTGTGCAAGCTTTGTAGTACAAAGTAGTACTGGGAAATCCTCCGTGCAAGCTTTGTAATACAAAGTAGTACTGGAACGTGTTTTGTGCAAGCTTTGTAGTACACAGTAGTATTGGGAAGTGCTTTGCGTTAGCTTTGTAGTACAAAGTAGTACTGGGAAGTGCTTCGTGCAAGCTTTGTAGTACAAAGTAGTACTGGGAAGTGTTTTGTGCAAGCTTTGTAGTACAAAGTAGTACTGGGAAGCGATTTTTGCAAGCTGTGTAGTGCAAAGTAGTACTGGGAAGTGGTTTTTTCAAGCTTTTGTAGTAGACATCAGTACTGGGAAGTACTTGACATGAAAATAGCCAAGGAGAACTTAGCTGACATATGGAAGACATGGAATGAGATGAGAAGAGCTCAGATGAGATGAGTTGAGATGAAGTGCTGCAGCCACTTTACACGGAAAAACACAAGGTTTCGTGCCCCGGCTTCCTCCCCACAACACAGAGCATGCAACTTTCATGCAGCCAGTCCAATGCGATCTGCAACCACAGGTTCCAAAACACCCTATAACTACGCACACACAAGCACAGCCAAAGCAGCTTGAAGCCACCGTTACAATGCGGCCGCCGGCTGCAGCCACTTTACACGGAAAAACACAAGGTTTCGTGCTCCGGCTTCCTCCACAAAACAAAGCCCATGCAACATTCATGCAGCCATTACAATGCGTTTTGCAGCATCCCGTAGCAAACCTGCATCTCTCTACCACATGGCAACGCCAGATGACAACAATCATGCAGGTCAATTCTTTTGCGATGTATTGCTATGTAGTGTAAAGTCACACACCGCCCTTCATCAAGGTCAATTCTTTTGTGATGTATTGTTATGCGATGTAAAGTCTCACACCGCCCTTCATCAAGGTCAATTCTTTTGTGATGTATTGCTATGTGATGTAAAATCTCACACCGCCCTTCATCAAGGTCAATTCCATCAGGTAAAAGTCACCCGTAACTCGGAAGTATTGCTTCCCAACTTCCTTTGATAACTCGGAAGTATTGCTTCCCAACTTCCTGTGATTATATACATTACAATTACTATATATATATATAATAGGTGTGTGTGTGTGTGTAAGTGTGTGTGTGTATGTATATATATATATGTATATATAGTGCTTATATGATCTTATATGTACATACTGAACACATATACTATACTGACAATACTGTATATTTCTGTATAAATAGTACCGCTCATACTTGGCGCAATCCCTTCATCTTTATATAAATCTTGTAGAGGCACATCATTGAAGGAGATCGAGTGGATATTAGAAGATATTAGAGTAGAATGCTACATATTGGCTATGCGTCTTGGAAATTGTTGGAATGTATCATGTATCTGATGATCTTGTACCTCATGTGCTGTTCAGCTGTTCATCACTGCAAACTCTTGCCATTGTACTCATGGCCAATCCAGCTTCAAGGTCCTGCCACACACCATACCAGTCAATGTTTCCATACTCGTCATAAGGGGTCGCGTAGCAATAGTGCCTCAGGAGGCAGCATCACATGTGACACTAGGCTCAAATCATCAGCATGGTATGGATCCCAAGTTTGAGAGATCTTTCCCAGTGGTGGGAAAACAAACAGGGGGTATAGCTAAGGGATATGCCCCACTAGTACATCCATCAGAAAATATTATAGGACCGGATAACCCCACATGTTTACAACTGCAGACTTAGACTGAGCATAGAAAAGCAACAAGGGAAGAGGAAGTATGAGAGTGACGGAGGGGTGATGGTGAGTGAGTTTGTGTGTGTATGTATGCGTGTGCATGTACAGATGTGTCACTTTGGTAGTGTGTTAACGATATGTGTACCGGGTGAACGAGGCAGTTTGTAATGTATGTGATGCACATGCGGATGTTATACGTATGTGTATGTGTGTATGTGCGCCTATCTATCTATCTGTCTATCTATCTAATCTATCTAATCTATCTCTAATCTATCTAATCTCATCTATCATCTATCTAATCTATCTAATCTATCTAATCTATCTAATCTATCTAATCTATCTAATCTATCTAATCTATCTAATCTATCTAATCTATCTATCTATCTATCTATCTAATCTATCTAATCTATCTATCTATCTAATCTATCTAATCTATCTAATCTATCTAATCTATCTAATCTATCTATCTATCTATCTATCTATCATCCCCTTCTAGATTAAGTGGAGGGGTTGGGTGCCCCCATTTTATAGTACTAAAACCGGGGCACCCACCCCCCCCCCAAAGTGGGACCTCTATAAAATGGAAACACCCAGGGTCACAAAACAGGTGCACCTCTATAAAATAGGAAATTCATTTGAAAAAACAAATATTTACAGCTACAAATTTACTGCAAAACCCTCCATCACTATAAAATGGGAGGCCCCAACGTACCCTGGAGCCTAGCCTTAAAATGAAGAAAATAGCCAACTTTTTACTATAGAATGGGAACCCCCAACCCCCTGTATATAGCTTCAATTTTACAACATCCAAAAATGAATGGTTTCTTGAGGGGTTGGGTGCTCTGATTTTATAGAGATTACATGCCCTTCCTGGTAGGATTTTCTCGGGGTTGGGGGTTTCCATTTTATAGTGCCGCAGCCTTCCCACATCCTCCCACCATCATCGCCCCAAAGACACCACATTTTTCTTTAGCCCGGGACGTCCCAAAGCCAAGGGATGCTGACACAAAGACCAAAACTTATTTTCTGGTAGTTTTCCATTGGTCCCATGCTGTCCCATGTCCCAAAAGCCAAGGGATGTCGACAAAAAGACTGGTATCGACGGAGCTGGGTATTTTGGGG